ATTGTCCTCCATTTCCAGTGTGGGGGGGGTCGGGGAACATCGAGAAAATACATATGGAAGCCGTACCCCGCCCAACCCGAAATTCGGGTCTTCGGGTTGGGTTGGGGTGGTCGGGTAGGTAGTCAGGCTGGCGCGGCCGCAGAGATGCACCAGCCAGCGCCAAGCACTCAGCGCAGTCGCCGCCGCATGGGTTCTGCAAACCAAGTTGCGGGTGGGTGGGTGGGGTGTCTGCAACGGCATGGAAGGTGTGAACTCATTCGTAAACATCGGTTGCGCCACGCACATTGCACCACACCGGTGGCGCCGCATGGACTGCAGCACGTCGATTGCACCACGCCGACTGCATCACATATGTTGCACAGCACATGTTGCACCACATTACATGCACAACGTTGAGTGCACAGCATACGTTGCATAACATACATTCCGCTACAAAGATAGCACAGCATATATCGCACCGCGTCGATGCACCACATAGAGTGCGCACCACACAGAGTACACCATGCAGGTGGCCCCCCACATCGATTGCACCGCGTAGATTTCGTCACGTAGATTCCACCACGTATATTGCACCACGTGCATGCGCTACACATCGCGCCCGACATAATATGTGCAGCGTATACGGGTAGAACCACCTGTTTGGGGTCCAGGTTGGCTAACATTAAATTTGATTGCGTTTCCTGCCCCCCCCTCGTCAGCGCACACGAGCTTGTCCCCCTCCCCCAAATCCTCCACCCCAGACGTCCGACGATCTGATTCTTCAGTGGACGGCTTCAAAGTGTTGACCCCTTCCCCAGGGCCAGTTTTCCGCTCTGGACCCGTTTTTAGTGGCCAAGGGGCTGGAAAATCGGCCCCAGACGCCAAGATTGAAACATTCAGATGAGCGGCGCAGGAAGGCGGCTTCGACTGCGCGGACATTGGCGCGTAGTCTGCCCGCTTGAGGTCGTTCGCAGGCGCTGTCGTTTCCAATGCAGCGTGCCGTTCGGGTGGCCCGCGTAAGCCGCTGCGTCTGGCCGTTGCGCCATCGTACGTAAGACCCGCTTTTTCTCGTCGATCATATCGTCGGATATTTTCACAATCTACCAAGACACTCCCACCCTACCCGAAAGCCCTAGACCACCACAGATTTCTGGTTCGGGGGTGCACGGGTTCCACCGTGTGTTTGTTTACCGTCTTGGAGCGCCACCCCCACCAAGAATCGACGAAGCCATCGGTGACTTCGGGTCGGGCTGTGGTGGTCTGGCAGCTAGTCAGACCTGGGACTTCGGTCGTTAAGCGTATTACAGCCCCGATCCTTACTAACACGAGGAACTCGTGGCCTAATTTAGGCCTTCGGTTTTTCATGGTTGTCCCTGAACATGTGGGGGGGTTCGTCTCAGGCAATTGCAAAGGAGACCCATCCCTCATGGTTCTGGCCCTCCTCACTTGGGTCCCTTCCCAAAGGACCAGGGGTAATTTACAGTCGGGGCCCTGAAGAAGGAACCCTTTTCGTTGGGGAGGGGCTCCGCGTTCCTTGAGTGTTTCGCAGCTTGCCTCAGGTTTTCCTTATGTTTTCGATCGGAAATCGAAGTTTAACCTATGGAAAAAAGGGGCCTCGTTCCTTATTTTGGGTTCCTCAGGTCAAGGCCCCGACTCGATTGCTCATCCTTCGGCGCGCCCGGTCACCGGCGCCGCGCCGCCTTCGGCGCGCGCCTCTCCCCTCGCGGCCGTGCGGGGGCTGTGCCGCGAGCCCAGCGGACCCGCTGCTGGCGCCGGAGGCGGCTGCGGCACAGCGTCGGCGCGCGCGGGATGCAGGGGTCTGGGGAGGCAGGGGTCCTCCTCCTCCTCCTCCTCCTCCTCCTCTCCTCCTCCTTCCTCCTCCTCCTCCCTCCTCCTCCTCCTCCTCCTCCCTCCTCCCCCTCCCCCTCCTCCTCCTCCTCCTCCTCCTCCGTCTCCTCCTCCTCCTCCTCCTCCTCCTCCTCCTCCTCCTCCATTCCTTTTCCTTATAAGCAACTCCTCCCTGTCGCAGCCCGAGGCCGGTCGGACGGGCGGGCTGGGCGTTTCGCCTGAGATTTCCTTACACTTTAGCAGCTTGAAGCTTAGAAGCTGGTAGCAGTTTCACAGATGGAGGGCGAGTTGCTTCCAACATCGTTGGCTGTCGCCTCGGCGCCGCGCGCATTCGTTTTACAAATGTGTAGGAGTTTCACGGTTTCAGGGCGGTCGTTTTCAACATGTGGCTCTCGCCTTAGCGCCGCACGCATTCGTCTTAAAACACTGTAAGAGCTTCACGGATTGAGGGCGGGTTGTTTTCAAAATGTGGCTCGCACCTTAGCGCCGCGCACATTCGATTTAAAGACTTTCAGGAGATTTTTGGATCGAGGGCATGTCGTTTTCAAACTCTTGCTCTCGCCTTAGCGCCGTGCACATTTGTTATAAAACATTGTACGAGCTTCACGGATTGATTGCGGGTCGTTTTCAATGTGGTTTTCGCCAAGGCGCCGTGCACATTCCATGTAAACAGTGCATAACGTTTCGCAGAGTCTCATGGTTGGTTCCCTTTCCAGAACATGTGTGTTCCGAGCGATTCAGGACTGTCAGGGCGCAACCGCTACGGTGATCCGCAGTTTTGAAGTCCCAGGTATGGTGTTCTGCACGATACAGCGTCGTCAAGATGCAACAGTCAGGTTGACTCGTGGCGTTGAAGTCCTGAGAAAGGTGCTCTTGGCACGCTCCAGGATTTTTACACGGTTGTCTTCCAACGGGGCCTTTTTCTCAGTGTAAGCGAGTCCTTGTATGGGGCGCCTGTGAAGAGGGAGCTTGGAGGAGGGAGGGTGTATCCTAACATCGTTGATGATTCCTGCGATTGTACTGGTCCTCCTCCTCCTCACCCTCCTCCTGCTCACCCTCCTCCTTCTCCTCCCCACCCTCCTCCTCGTCCTCCGCACCCTCCTACTTCTCCTTCTCGTTCTCCTCCTCCTCCTCGTCCTCCTCCTCCTCCATCCCTCTTCCTTCGAACTAATTCCTCCCTGTCGCACCCCGAGACGGGTCGGTAGGTCGGGCCAGGCGTTTCGCTTGAGACTTTTCGCCTTTCCTGAAGCTTACACTTGCAAGCGTTTCACGGATGGAGGGCGGCTTTTGTCACACTCCACCCAACAGTTCACAACAGTTTCACGGACTCTTATGGTTGGCGTCCCAGTCGCGGTGTTTTGGCACGATTTCGGCTTGTGAGGGTGCTCGCGTTGATTCGCGGTGCCGGCGTCCCAGAAATGGTGCTCTGGCAAGATTCGCAGCAGTAACGTTGATTCGCGGCGTTGAGGCCCCAGGTATGGGGCTCTGGCACGGTTTAGGATCGTCAGGTCGCAGCAGCAATGTTGACTCGCGGCGTTGAAGTCCCAGGCATGGTGCTCTCGCGTGGTTGAAGAATTTTCCAGATGGCTGTCTTCCAGCGGAGCTCTGCCCTTGGCCGCCTGCCCGCGCCTCTCGGGTCGGACCCGGGGGGGGGGGGCAGTCAAAGGGGGGGGTTAGCGAATCGGCTCGGGCAGCTGGGCTTCATGGCGATTCCCGGCGCTGGAGACGGCCACGTAAAGAGGAAAGGGCCCGGCGGCGGGGCCGAAACTGGCGGCATGCAGAAGGTTTCCCCTCCCCCCATACCCCCCTCTCGTCCGACCCTGGTCTTGGAGCGCGGCGAAGGGGCCGTCCCAGACCTTCGGCGTCGTGATTTTTCGCAGCGTGGATTCCCCACAAGGGTGTGGACCCCTTCGCCGGGACCGGCTTCTCACCCGGGGTCGTGCTTTCGCAGCCCCAGGGCCCGCCGAGGGCCTCCTGAGGCCGACGGCGGACCAAGGCATATAGCTCTTGGCACCGAGAGGAGGCGGGGGTCGCAGCGAGGCGAGGGGGTCGTCACAGAAGTGGTCCGTTGGCTTGGGGTTGGTCAGGCCGCCCGCCCCTTCAGGGTCAATGTCGGGGGGAGCCAGCTCGGGGAGGAAGGCATCGGCCTGGAGTCGAGACTTCTCGCCGACAGATCGGCGAGGGCCCCCCGATGGCGAAACCGCACTTCCCTGGGCGGAGCGAGCTTTCGAGCCCCTATCGGCGATGAACGGGCGATTGGCGGCGGACGCATCCCCCCCCTGACCATGTCCCCCCCCAGCGTGGCCCCCTTGGCTTTCGAGTCACAACGCGGCTCTCCCGTGGCCTAACGCGGCGCAGCTGCTGTTGAGCACCCCGAGCCTGGAACACCGCCGGGGACCGACGAAAACGTCCGAAAACCTCGAACCTCGAAACCCTTCCTCCCTGACTCCCTTTGGCCAGCGTGGCGGCCACGGCCGCGCGGAGGGAAGAGGAGGACCAGTGTGAGCCCAGGATTCATCCACGATGTTGCAGTACACGCGCCCTCCAAGCTCCCTCTTCATAGGTTCCGATGCGTATCATAAGGCGAAAACCCACCCCCACCCCCAGTTCCGACGCCCATCCCCGAGCCGGCGATTCAGGGGGTCGAGACTGGGGGTGGGGGTGGGTTTTCTCCATTCCTGGACCCCGAAAACCCACCCCCACCCCCAGTCCCGACTCCTTGAATCGCGGGTTCGGGGATGGGGTCGGGACTGGGGGTGGGGGTGGGTTTTCGCCTTCTCAAATTAAGCATCTGTCGTCCCTGCGGGAAGAGCCTCGGCGGGGAGGGGGCCGTCCTGGAGGAGCGGGGGGCGTAAATGCAACCAGGCCCTCTCCCCTTGAGGTCCATATCCTTGGCTGCCCTCCCGATGCTGGGGAAAGTGCAGAGAGAGAGAGAGAGAGATTCGCTCTGCGCTGCAAGTGTTGTTTCTTACCCTGAGGCCACCACGGGCTCTCTGGAGGCAAGGCGCCCCGACTGAACCTGCGAGCACGCTTGGGGCACAGTCGGCCCTCCTAGAGCCTTGAGCCAAAATGACAGAGCAAGAGAGAGAGAGAGAGAGAGCATCGCGCAGATGGTAGCAGGGTAGATGGGGGGCCCGTTACGCGGAGGGAGGGGTCGACCACGCCGCGCCCGAGAGAGAGAGAGAGAGAGAGAGGGCTGCGTGCGCTTTCCGGCGCACGCTGGCCCCTGCTGCACGAGGAGGGACGCCTGTGCCAAGGCAGGAGGCCACGACGGGCAACGCTGGTGGGGAGCCGCCGTCGAGGGTCGAGGCTTGGAGGTTTCCGGGCGTTCGCGTCGGCTCTCGGCGGCTTTGCAGCCGCGGGAGCTTTCGGCGCCCGCGCCTCGCCAGGAGCGTCTTGGGGATCCCAGGATCGTCCCGAACGGCCGCCGGAGGCTCCGATTATGATCCGCAAGCCAGAGGTCGATGATCAATGTCGGATTCGACGATCAGGGGCAGCTTTGGGGGGGGGGGAGGGGCTCAGGGGTGGATGCGTCGATCCCCAATCGCCCATTGATCGCCGATGGGGGCCCGATAGAGCCCGCCCCGCCCAGGATCGTGCGGACCCGCTATCGGCGGCCCACCGCCTATCGCCGATCCATGGGCGACGTATCGGTGATGCCAGGTCGATGTTTTCTCCCCTGAGCCATTCCCCCCCTCGCGTTCCCCTTCACTGTTTCAAGGCAGGGCTGCACCTGGGGTAAAGCCTCGGTGTACCGCTTCAGCCTGCGCTGTTGCCATCGAGCGTGTCGAGTGTTTCAACATCCAGTCTCCTCTCCTCCCCTCCCCTCCCCTCCCCACCCTCCCACGCCCTCTGGCGGATGTCTCCCTCGTGGTGCTCCCCTCCGTGTGTGCATAGTGGCAGTGCTCAGCCCCTGGCGCTGGAGTGCAAGCGCGGGCGTACCTGGGCGTCACCACGCCCAGAAGATGTAGTCTGATTAGGATGCTCTCTGCGCTTGCACTTTTTCTCAGTCGGCTGGCACGCATCTTGCAGTCGTCTGCCCCCCCACCCCTGCCACCAGAAGAGACACCTCGAGGAGGACGAGGAGGGGGATGGCCCCGACCTCGGTTCTTGTTCGTTCAACTTGTCGTCGTTCAAAGAGTGAGCTTTTTTTGGAGATCTATGCCCCAATTTGCTTCTAGCGCCTTCCTATTTCAAGAGTCGACATGCTTGTGCGGTTTGTCGCTGTTTGTTGGGCGGGGCTGGACCCACTCTATTTAATCCGCCTTCCTACTTCATGTTTCCACCTACGGTCGGGCCGAGGTACACGACCGAGGTCGGCTCGGGGAGGGTACCCTGATGTTCGTCGTGTTTGGTGGATGTTCTTGTGCATCCTGGGGAGGATACCCTTCGACGTTCTGTGTGTTTTTGTCGGCGGGGGGTCTCATGTTCTTGATCGGGGCTCAAGGGACGGGGGTCGGCCAGAGCTCCAGATCTTGCAGGCTCCTGCAGGGCCAGGGGTGCACTGATCCTGGCGTGCGCGCAGGACCCTGCAGGATCCTGCAGGATCCTGCACGATCCTGCGGAGCCTGGCCGACCCAGGTTTGCATCGACCCGGGCTTGCACTGCCCTGGGTCCGACCGTACAGTCAACCCGCACAGTGGGGATGGGCAACCTTCCCAAGGGCACCCTTGCATCCTTGCCTCCTCGGTCCACGCTTGGCCGCTTTCGCTGGCCGCGCCCCGCTCGAAAAGCTTCGTCATGTCGGGGGACGAAATCTATACATATCCACTGCTCCCTGGCCAGGCCCATCCTGAACCCAGGAGCTGTGTATACGCCCTCCTGGCCAAACCAGGAGGGCGTGGCGTATACACAGCTGCTGTGTTCAGGATGGGCCTGGCCAGGGAGCAGTGGATATGTATAGATTGCGTCGCCCTATCATGGGCGCCCCAGGCCCTTGCACCCTCATCGCGCCTCCTCACTCTACCGGTTGGCCGCACTCCCTGCGACGGGCGGTCATAGGAGCGCGGGCGCCCCAGACGGGCGGCGCGCGCCGGGGGGTGGAACTCCGAGAGGGGTCGGGACTCGAGGGACGGGGGTCGATGCAAACGGGGGTCAGCCGGGGCACCGGATCCTGTGGGATCCTGCGACGACCCCCTCTGGCCGACCCGGGTCTGCGAGCCGCAGGGGTGGCCGCGAGGCGGCCGCGCATAGTGGCTGACCCGGGTCTGCGAAACCCTCTGCGTTGCATTTTTTTTTTTTTTTTTTGTTTGTTTTTTTTTGTTTTGTTTTTTCCCCCTGCATTGCCGTTTTTTTGTGTTTTCCTGCCGACCCGGGTCTGATTGACCCGGGTTGGGAGATCCCCGAAGGGGGGGGCAGGCCTTCTCGCACGGCGGCGGAGAAGGCTCAGAGAGCTTCCCGGAAGGCCAGAGGCCTTCCATCACCACAGGGCTCCTTGCAACAAATTAGAAAAAGACATGGCTGATATTTCGACTCCTCCGATCCGCTTCGGTTCGACTTCGATCGGTTCCGAGTGGATTCGATGCGAGTTCGGATTCCGATCTGGGCTTCGATGTCTCAACGGAGGCCCTACTAGCCTACCGGCCTGCCGATCTCCGCCGATTCGTTTTCCCCCGACTTGGCTGCCGATTTCCGCCGATCCGACTCATTTCGATCGCCGATCCGCCTTATCGATTCGATACTGGGTTCTCCTGCCACCACCCACCAAACCACCCCAACCCAACCCGAAGGCTCCAAAGTTCCCTCCATTCCCAGTGCGGTGGGGGGAGGGCGTCGTCGGGGAGCACTGACCAAACCCGCAGTTTGGGTCGGGCTGGGCTGGGATGGCCTGCTGGGCAGTCCTCCTGAGCGTTCCGGGAGGTCCCGCCCACGGTGCCTCCATTCCTGCAGTGCTCCAACCCGTGCTCCTCTTACCCCATCGGCTTTACCCCAGCCTAGGTTGCGCTGGCCTGCTGATGTGCGTGCTCTGGATCGCTTAAGCATCGCCCCCCCCCCCCCCCCCCCCCGAGTGCCCGGGGGGGTTGGCCGCGGCGCGTCCGCGGGGCTGCCAGGGGGGGGTCTTGAGTTCGTTCCCTTCCTCGCTGGGGCGCGGGGGTGGTGCCGGTGGGGGTTGGCCGCCCCGCTTGTCACCTCCCGGTTAATTTGACGAACGAGCAACACACACCCATACCCATAGGGGGGTCGTTGGGAGGAGGATTGGCGATGGGTATGGTTGCGGGTTGTCGGACCCTGGGGAACGCTCCCGTTCGAGCGGGGACCCCCATCCGACAACACGCACCCATCGCCCTCTCCGACCCCTCTTTGGGTACGGGTGTGTGTGTGGTTGGCTCGTCGTGATGGATCGGAAGTTCGGAGTAGATATAGCTACCTCCCCGACACTGCCAGAGAGAGAGAGAGAGAGAGCGCCAGGAAGTCCACGGGCCTTCACCCCTCGGGCGCGCGCCGTCCAGAGGTCACGACCCACGGGGGGGGGCGGGCCGGCGGGGCGAGGGCTGGCCGCGTCCTGTCGCGGAGCCCGGGCCGGGCTGTCGGAGGTCGGTGGGGTGGGGTAGGGCGGGCTTCTTGTTCCTCCTCCTGGTCCTCCGCCTGGTCCTCCTTCTGGTCCTCCTCCTGGTCCTCCGCCTGGTCCTCCTCCTGGTCCTCCGCCTGGTCCTCCTCCTGGTCCTCCCCCTCCCTCCTCCTGCCCGTCCTCCTGCTCCTCCTCCTCCTCCTCTCTTCCTCCCTCCTCCTCTTCCTCCTCCCCCTCCCCCTCCTCCTCCTCCTCCTCCCCCTCCTCCGCCTCCTCCCTCCTCCCTCTCCTCCTCCTCCTCCTCCTCCTCCTCCTCCTCCTCCTCCTCTACTATTACTGAATATGAATACTACTCTCCCTCTTCCCCTGATGACGGTTTGAGAGTGGTTGAAAAATATTCGACCCCCCCCCGTACTGTTTTTTACACACAGGATTCCCCGCAACTGGGTTTTCGCTTGCATTTTTTTCCAAAATGCTGCTCTCGCTGAGGCGCCGGCCTCATTTTCGGGCCCTGCTCGTTCCGAATCGTGCTCCCGCTGCAGCGCTGGCCTCATTTCCGCCGGCGCCCGCGCTGCACGCCCGAGCCGGCGCCCAGGCCGGCGCTCGGGCCGGGTCAGGAGCCGGTTCCGGCCGCCGCCGGAAAAGCGAGTTCCGAGGCGGCGCCGAAAAAAGGCCATTCTAATACACATTTTTCTTTTGAAAATGTTGAATTTCTGCTTCAGATCCAGCGCCCCGGAGGCCTCCCGGGCCGATTCCGACGCCCGGGCCGGCGCCCGAGCCGGCGCCCGGGCCGGACGCCCGAGCCGGCGCCTGGGCCAGCGCCCGGGCCGGGTCCGGAGCCGGTTCCGGCCGGCGCCGGAAAATCGAGTTCCAAGGCGACGACGAAAAAAGGCAATTCCAATACACATTTCTGCTGAATTTCTGCTTCTGGCGCCCGGGAAGCCTCCCGGGCTGATTCCGGCGTGCTTCCGTTCGTTCTGAATCGTGCTCCCGCTGCAGCGCTGGCCTCATTTCCGCGCTTCCGCTCGTTTCGACTCGTGCTCCCGCTGCAACGCTGGCGTCAGTTCCCGTGCCATGCCACGGCATGCAGTGCAATGCTAGGTTGATGCTACGCTTCGCGGTGCTCTTCTACACCATGCCATGCCGTGCTCTACAATGCATCGCGTTCCCTTTCGGGATCATTGCCCTGCTCGACATCCGATTGTGCAAGTAGAGAGGAGATTTGCGCCATGGTAAGGGATGGGAGGGAGGGGTAGGATGTCAGATATGACGCGAGCGCACCTAGCTTGTCCTCCTCTCCCTCCCCCTCCCCCCCTCCTCCTCCTCCTCCTCCTCCTCCTCCTCCTCCTCCTCCTCCTCCCCCTCCCCTCCTCCTCCTCTCCTCCTCCTCCTCCTCCTCCTCCTCCTCTCCTCCTCCTCCTCCTCCCCCTCCTCCTCCTCCTCCTCCTCCTCCTCCTCCTCCTCCTCCTCCTCCTCCTCCTCCTCCTCCTCCTCCTCCTCCCCCAGGGGTGGGTGGGTCTTCACCGCGGGTCCACCTCGACGGCGCGGGGAGCCCGGCGCGGGCTTCGGGTTCCTCTTTGGAAGGGGGACGGGGGGGAGAGGCGGGGGGAAACGGATCAGGCGTCCCGAAGCGGTGCAACGACAGCCAAGAAAACGCAGGCACGTATTATCAGTGATAATTACGGGGCCATTAGTCAGTGATAATGACGGGGCCATTAGCCCTGACATGAAGTCGGGCACGTCATTCTGCAGGAGGAGTCTTCAAAAATGGTCAAAACATAGCCTGGGGACGATTTTGTCTGTCATTTTTTACCATTCTTGATTGTATGGAGTATTTCTATCTTTTGCTCAAAATCCGCCTGTAGGGGGACATGCCCGACCTAACTCTATTAAGATAGTGAAGACGTGGTCTCACTGAGGTTCCCGTCTTTGCGCCAGGGATGATACATCCTGGCGGTTTGGTGTGCTACATCCGCAGAAAAAATACCCTGTATCCCCACTGTTTCTGGTCCTCCTGACTTAGGTCCCCTCCCGAAGGGTTAGGAGTCCTTCTATCGCTAATCAGTTCCGCATGCGTTGGCGCCATTCTGGCCAGGCGTCTCGTAGGTGGTGCTCCGAGTCCGCACGGCGCGGTCGTACCCCCTTCGGGGCCGCGCGAGGGCCAGCGCTCCACATAGAGCAGGCTCGCGAATAGTGTTGAGATGTGACAGCCAACAACAACACGTGGCGCGCAAGCTACCTCCTCCTCTTCCTCTTCCTCGTCCTCCTCCTCCTCCTCCTCTTCCTCCTCCTCCTCCTCCTCCTCCTCCTCTCTCTACCTCCTGCCCTTCCCCCTCACTTCCTCCGCCTCCATGCAGGATCGGCGCGCTTTTGTCGCCACATCGGGCGGCGTTGGCCCCATGCTTTGGGGGGGCACGTGCTTTCCTCGGTCCGCGGCCCTGGCGCCCGCGCGTGCGATCCACGCATCCCTACTTCCTGCTAGCGTGTGCCCGACGCCGCCCCTCCGAGACTTCGCCCCCTGCTCCAGTCCATGGCGTATCTTGTCCTGTGCAAGATCTTCGGCACCGCCTGTTTTCTGAGCCCTCCGGCCGCCTGAGGCCCCGCCCGCCCGCGCCCTGTCTCCCCAATTGAGGCTACCCGCGCCCCGTTTAGCCCTTGACCGGAAGGGGCCCGCCCCCGACCCACAGACCAAAAGTGCCCGAGGCCGCACTTTCCAGTGGGTCGGTGGGATTCGGGGTGACCGCGCACAGTTTTGGCATTTGGGTCTTTCTCCAGGAACGTCTCTCGGGCGACGGGGGCCTCCGAGGTCCCGAGGCCGTGAGCTGACGGACCGTGCGGTGAGGATTTTTTTGATTTCGAGATCGCCGCAGGGTCTGTTACCGTACCGTTTTGGGACCTCCACGAAGAGGGTCGTCTCATCATCGGCATGTTCGTCTTCACGATATTCCCATCCGCACCGCCAGCTGGCATCCACGCCACACGCCACTTCTTTCGCGCCCCGATGATCCCTTGGAAAGCCACTTCTTAGAGATATGGCCGGCGCCTTTTTAGAAGCAGCCCTCTTGAAATCCGACTTTGCGAAATTATCGCAACGTCGCGAACAATCACGACTGGAGCCCTAGACTCCAGCCTCCTGCCGCATTTTTCGAGCCAGATCGATCTTTGAGGGTCCCGGGACCAGGAACCAGAAAATGCCCGATATGAGTAGATCGCATTGTCCGGATCTCAGGGTCGTTCTAAGAAGCCCTTCTCTCTCCACCAACTTGTGCGCGCCCCCAAGAGGAGAAGGTGCTTGGTTGGCATTCCAATACTTAGGATGCATTTCCTGGGAGGATAAATTCACCATTGCCCGTGTTTCGAAAACCAGCCGAATCAGGCATGCTCCCGTCTAATGGCCTGCTCCGCCTTCATGGCCCACTCATCGGCCTAACAGTTCTGATCTAATCCTACGAGTCCCTCATCGGGAGTATTAGTCCTCATGGGCCTCGACAGTCCCATGCTGGGGAGTTGATTCTCTCTTTGCGCTGACCGGCCAAGCGGTATGTACGGACGGGCGGCGGCTGCCATTCCTCATCATGGAACGTCTGCCCGCGACGTGGCTGGTTTCCTACCAACCGGCACTGCCGTTGTGCATGAGGGGGCTGCCTCTGCGACCTGCTTCGGCGCACCTGGCGTGTTCAAGTCTGATCTGGCACCAATCGAGAATTCTGTCGCAATGGCGGTCGGCGGTAGAGGAAGAGGAGGATGAGAGGACAGACGATACGAGTCTTCTGTAGTTTATTTGGAAGTCTATTAATGGAGAGGAAGCGTGCTGCCAAATAGTATCTAGATGCCCACAACATGTTTCAACCATGTTTACATAAAAAAACAAGTTTGAAACGTTTGTGTAATATGTCTTTTTTACACATCATAAACACATCTTTAATTCTATGATAGGATTGTTAGAGTGTCCATTGTTATGGCGTCCACAACTGTAGTTCTTCCCTCAGTTGCTCGGTGGGCAGGAGTTGCTTCCTCTGACAATCTCCGCCGGCTCGGCGGAGGCAGCTGTAATTGCTAAATACGTAGGCGCAGGCCCCGGCCGAGCGGCCCTCGCGCCGGCAGCGCCCGCGCGGGCGGGGCCCTGCGAGCAAGGCGGGGCATCCGAAGTCCGTGGACGGACGTCGAGGAGGAGGAGGAGGAGGAGGAGGAGGAGGCGTAGGAGGAGGAGGGAGGAGGAGGAGGAGGAGGAGGAGGAGGGAGGAGAGGAAGGAGGAGGAGGAGAGGAGGAGGAGGGAGGAGGAGGAGGAGGAGGAGGAGGAGGAGGAGGAGGAGGAGCAGGAGCAGGAGCAGGAGAGGAGGAGGAGAGGAGGAGGAGGGAGGAGGAGGAGGAGGAGGAGGAGGAGGAGGAGGAGGAGGAGGAGGAGGAGGAGCAGGAAGGAGGAGGAGGAGGAGGAGGAGGAGGAGGAGGAGGAGGAGGAGGAGGAGGTGGAGGAGGGGCCCCCAGACGGTGCGGTGACCTCACCGTTTTTTGAGTCAGTGTGGATTCGGGGTGGCCGCACGGTTCTGGGACTCTGGCCGTTCTCCAAGGACGTCCCGGGCGACGCGGGCGTCCGAGACTGCATGCACTCAAGCCCACAGGGGGGGACGGAGGGGGCTACGGGTGCGTGTTGTCGGAGGGGGTCCCCGCTCGAAGGGGAGCGCCCCCTGGGATCTGGTAGCACGCACCCATACCCATAGCCAGTCCCCTTCACTCCGACCCTCTTATGGGTATGGTTGTGTGTGCTGTTCGCTCGTCAGCGGTGATGGACCGTGGGGTGAGGTCCCTCGGGATTTCGAGGTCACCGCGAGGTCTTTCACCACACTGTTTTGGGATCCCCACGATATACAAACAACATGTAAGAAGCCATATAGTTCAGCACGCCTCTGGCCCACTGGGCCAGCGAATGAGTAGGGTCACGGGTGCTGGGCCTCGCCATCTCTGCGGCTTCAGTTGCTGTCGTACGATGTCCTGCCCCAGTGCCGTTGGCAGGGGAAAGACGAAGAAACATCTGCGCAAGCATGCACCTAGCTCCGCGCGTAGTTCCTGGACTTGTGCTGGACCCTCCTGGCGACGCCTCTGGCGTTGTCCCTGGCGCGCTCGGCGTGTCGGGGAGAGGGGTGCCAGCGCCGATTTGAGCTGCTGTTTGGGCCAGGTCTGCTGAGGAGGAGGAGGAGGAGGAGGAGGAGGAGGAGGAGAGGGAGGAGGGGGAGGGGGAGGGGGGGGGGGGGGGGGAGGGGGAGGGGAGGGGGGGGAGGGGGAGGGGGAGGGGAGGGGGAGGGGAGGGGGAGGAGGAGGAGGAGGAGAGAGGAGGAGGAGGAGAGGAGGAGGAGGAGGAGGAGGAGGAGGAGGAGGAGGAGGAGGAGGGAGGAGAGAGGAGAGGAGGAGGAGGAGGAGGAGGAGGAGGAGGAGGGAGGAGGAGGAGGAGAGGGAGGAGGAGGAGAGGAGGGAGGAGGAGGGAGGAGGAGGAGGAGGAGGAGGAGGAGGGGGGCCAGCGCCGATTTGAGCTCGTGTTTTGGCCAGGGCTGCTTTGTCCAGGGTCGCGCGTTGCCAACTGTATCCGTGGCCCCAGGCGTCCCCAGGCTGCCTGGGGAGGCCCAGGTGGCCTCCAGGGCACCCCGCACGAGGCCCGGAGGGGCCGCATGGGGCTCGAGCATGGCGCGACAAGCCGGGGGTACCTGTGGGCCAGGGCCACACCTGGCAGCACATGACCTACCACAGTTGTGGAGGACGATCAATGGAGAGGAAGCGTGCTGCCAAAACATTCCCAGATGTCGAAAGCATGTGTTAAACATGCTTTAAACATGTTTAAAACATTTCCATACCACTTTCTGACATAGTAAAAACACTTTGATAGGACTGTTAGGGTGTGCACTGTCATGGCATCCACAATACTACAGGTTTGAAACATCTTGATCCTCAAACGAATTGGCAAAGCTTTCACAATGTTCAAAACAACCGACCCCAAGTCACCACACTGTTCGTTCTGACCGGGTCGGCCATCTAGCCCCACCCTGCGCCCGAATTCCTCCTGGCTCATCGAGTCGCAGGAACGCCGAGGGAAGAAACACGTTGACTAAGTCTTGTCGACGCTGATCGTTGTCGTGGTCCACACCGGCCGTCGTCGATACGCGAGGATGGTCCGCGACTCGACGGTGATCAGTCTGGACGAAGGCCAAGATCGGCACCGACGCTTCCGCGCTCAGTCTTGGTCATGGTTCCCGTTTCTTTTTTTGTTTGTTTTTTTACGGTTGATTCTTCTTTAAGGTTGATGTTGATTATTCGTTTGGTTCCCATTGACTTGTTTTTGATGGTTCCCGATGGCTTTCGTCGAAACGGGGAATTCGATTCCTTCGAAATCGAGGTCAGAGGAGTCGTCTGCCAGGATCTAGGTCTCCCAATCGGGGTCCAAGCAAGTGGGGTCGGAGGGTCGCTCCGCATCGACGATGATTCGAGAGATGCGGCTCGATGTGGAGCCAGAGCTTCTCCATGCCGATGGCGCCGATGCATCGTCGACGCCGCCGATGCGATGCATCGGCGATGTGGCGCGATCCTCCGACCCCAACCTACTCGGACTTTATCTAGGAGGAGGAGGATGAGGAGGAGGATGAGGAGGAGGAGCAGGAGGAGAAGGAGGAGGAGCAGGAGGAGGAGGCGGAGGCGGAGGAGGAGGAGGAGCAGGAGGAGGGAGCAGGAGCAAGAGGTGGAGGAGGAGGAGGAGGAGGAGGAGAGAGGAAGAGGAGGAGGAAGGAGGAGGAGGAGGAGAGGAGGAGGAGGAGAGGAGGAGGAGGAGGAGGAGCAGGAGGTGGAGAGGAGGAAGAGGAGGAGGAGGAGGAGGAGAGAGCAAGAGGAGGGGAGGAGGAGGTGGAGGAGCAGGAGCAAGAGGTGGAGGAGCAGGAGGAGGAGGAGAAGGAGGAGGAGGAGGAGGAGCAGGAGGAGCAAGAGGTGGAGGAGGAGGAGCACGAGGAGGAGGAGGAGCAGGAGCAAGAGGTGGAGGAGGAGGAGGAGGCGGAGCAGGAGGAGCAGGAGGCCTCTGCAGCATCGAGTCTCGAGGACCGAGGCCTCTGGGAGGGCGCGGGCCTCGCCGTCCCCTCCGCGGACCTCGGCCTGCCGGCGCGCGGCGTCCTGTCCCAGTGCCGTTGGCAGGGGAGGCAGGGACCACTCCTGGCAGCGCCCGCGGAGGCGGCTGGGGGGCCGCCGCGCAGCCCCCGCGCAGGGAGGCGCGTGCACGCCGATCCCCCGACGACGCCGACGCCGACGCCGACGACGGACGGCGGACGACGGACGGCGGACGGCGGACGACGGACGACGCATCACGGACGACGGACGACGGACGACGGACGACGGACGACGACGACGGCCGACGGACGACGATGACGACGACGACGACAGCGACGACGACGGCGACGACGACGATGACGACGAAGACGACGACGGCGCTGGGGGGTGCGAGCGAAACCTCGCTCCCAATCGGTCCCTGGACCCCTCCCGGGATCGAAGCGGGCCAGATTCTCGAGCCGCGTCCAGCTGTGGCGAGTGGCTCAGTCGGGCATGTC